AGGTTGGAGACTCACCCTCCCTGCGTTTTCCTAGGGAATTCGCTGTGTTTGACCCAGAAAAAGCCCGCGCTATTTCAAGGCTGTGTTGAGCTGTTTCTTATCTTTATGCCGTTTTTTCTTTTTCTTTCTTTCTTTCGTCCTTCCCCCCCCCTCCCCCCACGGGTCGGTCTCTGAGGAGAACAGCAGGGAGAGAAAAGACCAAGCCGAGGAGATGTACAATCCTGGCAGCTCTCGCTTTTCTCCTAAGGCGAGGGGAGTTTGGCAGAGGAGTCGGGGTTGGTGAGCCGAGGCGGGGACGCGGGGCGAGCTGCGGGCCAAGGCCGTAGCGGGCCGGAAGCGGCGCGGAGAGCCCCTGGAGAGCGCGCGGCGGGCCCGCGGGGTGGGGGTGAGCTCCTCAGCGCTGGGAGGCCGCAGAGGGCCTGGGTGATGCCCGGAGAGGGGTTGAATCCGCCGCCTTCAACGAGGCAACTGCTCACTGACCAGACGCTCCTGGGAGCCTGCCAGCCGCGCGTCGGCCTGCCAGCGGGACGGGTATTTCGGAACCACCGGCCCCGGACTTCCGCGGGCATCTAATCTCAGCGAAGCCCCTGGCGTCACATACATGCGGCCAGGAAGCCGAACACTCTAGTGGCCTCGGCATCCCGCACCGCTGGCTTGTGTGGGAAGCGCGTTGGGGCTGCCCAGACTACAGGTGTATGCTACACGTTATTCTCCCCTCAAATACCAACCAGGGATCTTCTCATTCTGACATCACCTACCACTTCCCAAATGAAGTGCGTTCGCCCCCAAACCCGGGGTTCCACCCGCACTTCCCTCTCTGACTCTTCTGGGGGGGGGGAAGTGGGGAGGAGGAAAAAACAAATTTTGATCCAGAACTAACCGGCACTGCACAAATCAGGTATTCTCGACCTTGATAAATTATTCATTTAAGCCTGTTTTTGTTTTGCTCTGACGCCTAAAATGACTCAAGAGCTCTAAAGGCTTCTTGCACAGATTGTGTTGGGCAGTTTAACAGGATTTTTAGCTTGGAATAATTCACAACATTAGCAGGGAAGAGAGAGAGGTGGCCGTATGAAAATAAAAACGAAATCTAAAAAGAAAGGAAGAGAGGAAGGTGGAAGTTTTAGAAAAAAAATAGCGTTCCTTTTGTGAAAACTCTAAAAAGCAAAGAAACCGGAAGCCCAGTAGGCCCCACCTTGTGCGTGTCTCAGATCATGTTTTCTTAAGAAAAGGTTAAGACCATAGAAGATTTCTTTGGGTGAGATGTTAGGAGATCAGCTTTCAGGAACAACAATTGTGAGGGGAAAATATGACCTTGACTTTTATCAAGGCTCCTATCTTTGGGTCCCTACTAGAGAGGAAATGCTAGTGGTGGCCTGAATATCTATCTAAAAGAGACCCAAAGACCACATTGCAAACTTAATGAAAGCCAAATTCTTCAGAGCTGGACTTTTGTTTCTTAACTTTTCTTAGTTCTTTTTTCTCCACACACACTCCTCTTTTGCCATTATTTTTTTTTTTCCTGAGAGCGTATACAATCTAAACACCCAGGAAATCATGTACCGTCTAGCAGAGTAAACATAATTAACTTTTCATTAAAAATAAAAATTCAGAAATAGAACAGGTGTAGACTAATAACATTTTCAATTCCCAAGTATAGGAAAGGAAATGCATTAACTGGATTTAATCTCAGATTTTCCCACTGAATTTAAGACACAAATAAACATAGTCCCTAAAGCAACATAAGTTTGAAAATGTTCTTCCACTTCCAGGCCTTCATGTCCTTAAAGAAAAAGACACGAGAAAGAAAGAAAATTATTTAATTTTTGGAAGATTTTGGAATTCTTGCACAGAAAACAGTTATTTGCCAAACGTGGATAATAGAGAACAAAGTTTTCCTTCTGCTTTAAAGGATATGTCAGTCCTGATTACCACTAAAGATGCTCCCTCCCTGCCAAAATCACGATTCAAACATTCATGTATTTAACAAGTTTTGTTCTTTAATATATATATACTTTCTTCATTCATTTTGACAAGAGAGATTTGGGATTGTGTTTAAACTGGAGCATCGGTTTTTAAAGGAACTGAACTTTGAAGAAATGCATCTCTAGATTACGTTGAACTTGGAACTGTTTCTTCTTATCATGTTTAATTCGAACGTTTCTAAAGGTCCACATGATGACAATGCCAATTTACAGGAAAGAAGTGCAGAGGCGCTTCCCTCCACAGGGCGGCGCCAAGAGGCCCCAGCCGAGTAAGCCCGCTATTGTTTCTTTCTATAAAAGATGCCAGATGCACTTATAAGCTCTCCCTCTAGTAAGGCTGACTCCCTGACCACATCCTGACCTCTCAACGTTTGAAAGCTAGAGGAGCATGGGAAGTTTTCTTTATTTTTCTTTTCAGTATATAAAGATATTTCCAACTGCTTAAGGACTTGATGCATATTTGCTTAGAAACATAATGTAATAAAGAGAAAGACTTGAAAATACTGAAATTGAGTCCCTTAAATAGACAGAAACCAGGAGAGTGGTGACGGGAGCCAAGAGAGACAAGTAAAGTAGATGAAAAAGAATAAGGTAACTGAAAACTGTTTTAACAGAATAATAAGTTAAAACGATAGCCTTTGCAAATACTAATCGTCCTAGAGGAATAAAAGTTTTGAGAGATAGTGCTGGTATCATAATAAAATCTGTGAGAGCTATAAGTTCATCACAGCTTTAAAGATTAGCAGAGACCTAGTGAAGCTGGCAGTCCTTTGGGGGTTAGATATGTGTTGTGCCAGAACAATCAGGAGGCAGGCCAGTGGAGATAGTAGAGAAAGAATGCTGGAAGAGAGAGTTTTAATCTCATTTTGCCACTTTCCAATGCTCTTGAGCAAGGCACTTAACCTTTCTGATGACCACTTTTCTTGTCCATTAAAGGGAAGAATAGTCCTAGCCTAGAATAGAGTGATTGTGATGACCAAATAAGACCTTCTATGTAAAATCTCCTTGCAAATTGTGAAGCAAGAGATTGCAAGTGGACAACGCGAAGGTGGCAGTTATTTCCAGCTACAGGTACCATACAGCAACCATATTTAATTCCCCTTCTTCCTTCCCTCACTCATTTTGTTCACTCACTCAGTCAATAAACACTGTGTGTGCATTCTCTGCCAGGTGCTTGAGAATGAGACACTGGCCCACCTCAGGGGGCTGCTGAGAGCTTGAACATGATGGAAATTGTCATAAATGCCATGACGCCTGCTATCATGAGGATACAAAAGAGAGACTGCGGAGTCCTGCCTTGGAAGGAGTTGGGGGAACAGACAGGTTTCCTGAAGGAAATGAAGTGTATCTTTGGTCATGGAAAAAAAGCAGGTACATCCCAAGTAGATATATAGAGGGATTTGTAGGGTAGCTAAGAGTATTAATGGTGCAATAATGTCCACAAATCATCCAAACCTTTACTCTCCTGACAATGGGGCTGGGCAGCAATTTGTGGGCATATGTTGGCTGTAGAGATCTCTGCTGCAGGAAGGTACGAAATTCTCTTAGAGCACCGTGGAGGGAACAGAAACTGACTAACTACGCATGCCTACAGACCTCTGCAGCAGAACTTTGCAGCACGTTTGATGTGATCTCGAGATGGTCAAATCTCCCCCACAAACTAAATGTAACCACTCTTCTCCACCTCTACTTCCACTTCCTTTCTTCTTTCTACGGGTCCACATGTGTAGGGAGAAAGAAGTCTTCCTTAGAGGCAGGGGTGGAGATACAGAAGATGACAAAGTGGAGGCAGTTGGAGGAGGAGGGGGGAGGAGGATTTTACTTCACCCGTCCTAAACTAAATCATTGTCCATTGAAGACCAGCTCCTGGGAAATGAAAGGGCCCCCGGGTGACACAGCCACGCCCCACTATAAAAATAATTCTGAGGCCGCTAAGGTTCAGTAAGGTAGTTGAAGCTTGTATCAACTCCTGAGGTTAAGAGGGAATGGCGGGGCGGAGGCAGAGGAGAAAAGAAAGCCTCAGAGCGCTGGGCGAAGATGCCAATCAGAAAAGGGGAAATTCATTTGCGATGTTAATTAACAAGCGGCTAATTAAAACGGCACTTTGAGTGCTAATCAATCGCCTTATTAAGTTAGAGCCATCACTGGAACAAATTGAAAGCTCCCCGCCCCGGCTCCTGCTTCTGGTACGGGCGGGGCTGGATTCCCCAAACCTAGCGGGGTAGGCGACCGCTCAGGCAGCCGCTGAGGTCCACAGAATCTCCAACTGCCAGATTCAACCCCGCGGAACTGCCCGCTCCTGCCCTGGGACCTGATGAACTGGACCTGTGACTAGGAGGCGATTTCTAGTCCAGACGCACGGGGCAGGGGAGAAGGGATTGCGTGCGAGAACAACGGGATCAGCTAATGGGGACTTTGCTTCCCCGGAAGGAGCTCCCAAAAAGGTGCAGAAATTCGAACTGTGGGCCGCAAGCAGGGAGAGGAAGCAATTCAGCCCGAGAGGGGGCGCTCTCTGGCCAGGACCACGCATCCCCATTTCCCGGGACCCAGCGATCGCTTTACTTTCAACGCTCTTAGGCCCTTGCCCACATCCATCTCAGCAACCAGGAAAGAACTGGCGGGTCTTCAGGCAGCAAGGACAGGGTAGCTAGCCACCTCGGCTCGGTCTCCTTGGACTCCTCAAGAACCGTGTGGGATGCGTAAAGGGGAGAGGGAGTGGGCGTGCTAATCATCTGGGACGCCGGCACACCACGTCCAGCCACTAACGTGCCTCCCAGCCAACCCATTCGCGTTTCCTCATGCCTTTGGTCTTCCAAATTCGCTAAGAGAATTAAGATTTTGAATCTCTATTTTGAGGCGCCTTCCCCACTTCCTAATTGTTAAATGCCTACTTGTCACCAAATTCCCAAGGGAGAAGTAGTTGGCAACAAGAGGGGGCTGTGAATTTAAATGCTAATTAAATGGGTCCTTCTCCTGCAACTCCACCTGCCTGGCGGCCCCAGTTAAAGCAGAATGCACCGGGCGCGCACACCTCAACATTCCTGGGGTGCAGAGCAGAAGCTCAGTTGAAGAGGGACTCCGGCGGACTCCTGTATGGTTTGCTTCTTACGGCCTGCTACAGGGGA